GAGCACTGACTACTCTTAGAAGACCCAGGTTCAAATCCCAGCACCCACATGGCAACCAACAACTGTCCATAACTCCAGTTCCAGGGATTCCAACACCTTCTTCTGTACTCTGTGGGCACTGCATGGCACAGTTGCACTTATACACATGCAGGCAAAACACTCATACACATAAAATAAAAATAACAATAAAAAGAGTCTACCTGTCACCAGTGGAAACATTCACACTTTGAATGAGGTAATTTTTAAGTGGATCTTCAGTTAAACAGGATCAAAATGCAAAAAAGAAGCTGGGTGTGGTGGCACACGTCTTTAATCCCAGCACTCTGGAGGCAGAGGCAGGCGGATCTCTGTGAGTTCAAGGCCAGCCTGGTCTACATAGTGAGTTCTGGGCCAGCTGGAGCTACAGGGAGACCCTGTCTTAAAAACAAAATTCAAAAAAGAAAAACATTCCCAAACACATCCACTTCTTTGGCAATGTTGCTACACACAAAACTCCAGCAAGCATTTACTTTCTTCCCCCTCCTCCTCCCCCTTCCTCCTCTTCCTCCTCTTCTTCCTTCTCCTCCTCCCCCTCCTCCTCCCTCTCCTCCTCTTCCTCCTCTCCTCCTCCTCCTCCTCCTCCCCCCTCCCCCTCCCCCTCTCCTTCTTTTCCTTCCTCTTCTTTGGTAGTCTTGTTTTACGGACTCAGCTATGTAATGCAGGCTAGTTTCAAGCTCATTATTCTGTTTCAGCCACCCAAGTTCTGGAATTACAGGCATGTACCACTAAGCCTGGCTATACTTGTTCTTTTAATAAGAAAACTTATTCCATTCCACAAATAATTTCTCTTTTAAGAAATGCTCTTTAATTACAGGGAGACCCTGCTTCAAAAAGACCAAAAAAAAAAATGCTCTTTATTTTATTTGCTATTTTTATTTTCTATGTATGGGTGTATTGCTTGCATGTAAGTACACCTGTGTTGTGCAATGCCCTCAGAGGTCTGAAGAAGGCGGAAGATACCCTGGAACTGGAGTTACAGATGGTTGTCAGTCGCCATGTGGGTTCTGGGAGCCCTCTGCAAGAGCAGCAAGTGCTCTTAACTGCTAAGCCATCTTTCCAGCCCCCAAAGGTAATTTCTTAAAAAAAAAAAAAAAAAGTGGATATAGGTGTACATGCCATTTGTAATCTTGAATCATGAGACACTGAACATATTTTCAACTGGCAAGAAAGTAGAGGCTCACATCCAGAGATGACATATGCCTGATCACCAGTGTGGCCTTGCAGCCACCATCAATAAATTACCACAGAACACACCAGAAATACAGAATGACGTGTACTAGCCAGCCAGGTTAGATTTATGGCATTACAGAAGGTGACACGAGACTGAAGGCCGAAAGACTAGACTCCAGCCTGTGAATGACTCCAAATGGACACTGGAGTCACTGTCACACCCTTTTCCGTCTTGATACACTTCTTTTTATAAAACTATCGAACTCTTTGCTCATCCCCTTTTTCCACCCAGCAATTACAGAAGAAAAGACACAAGGTCTCTGAGATTTCACATAACCTTTTACACCCAATATTTTCATTGTCTTACAAACAAATCTCAAGTAGTCAGCAAGGGCTATGTTTTGCAACACCCTGGGGTGGCAAAGATTTGTTCACTATATTTTTTCCATTTTTGCCCTGGTGTCCTCTTTTGGCACATTCACTCATCACCTTGTGCCCCTCATCCTGAGTTCTGGCAGGATTTGAGACATGCAAATTACAAACTGGTAAATAGCAACTTTGCATATTTTGAATAGGAAAGAATAGGAGAGATTTCCCTGTTCTCAGAGAAATCTGAGATGATGGGGACAGAGAACAAGGGCAGATCCAAGGTCTTAAGTACTTTTTTCAAAAATGTTTACTACGCTTATTAAATTCATTGTATACTGATGAATTAATTTGAATTATTTACATGGTTAAACTTTGAGGCAATAACCTGATTTAATCAGAGGATGCAAATGTACCATTTCTCTTTGAAATCTAGAAGTAAGGCCAGTGAGATGGCTCAGTGGGTAAAGGTGCTTGTCACCAAGACCAATGACCTGAGTTCGATTTCTCAGACGCACATGGTTGAAGAAGAGAACTGACTCCAGAAAATCATCCTTTGTCATCCTCTGACCTTCATACCTACCCCATGGCATACACACACACACACACACACACACACACACACACACACACACACATATCATATCTAAATGAGACTAAATATAATTAAAAAAAGTAATCTGGAAGTAGATTTAAATCAGAAACATCAGGACTTGTTGCATCTTTCTCTACAAACAGTGGTTACAAATCTGCCTTTGTCAAGCCAAATGACCTAAGATCAGAAGCCAAGAGAATGTGTATTTCTTAGGAAAGTTGATCAACTCCCTTGTGAGAACATGTTTCCTGGACAGCCAACTCTTGGGTGACAAATTCTTCAGGCAAAAGTTTTTTAAAATTCTATTTATATTGGGGCTGGGGAGATGGCTCAGCGGTTAAGAGCACTGACTGCTCTTGCAGA